ATAAGGAATACTGGATGTATAACAACGAGAACACAATGGACATCCATAACTACTAATTATAACAATAAAGGACTACATAAGAGAAGGAATTACCATGGAAATGTTAACCCGTCTTGTCAAGATAGCATCGTAATAATGGGCCTCGTTTGAGCCTATAAACTAGCTTTGTTTTAAGAGGTGCGCCGCGCCGGCCGTCACACTTGCTGAAGCGGGACTCTTAATTGAATCGTTTACCCAACAACTGGTTACAGTTCCGCTGTTGTATAGTGACAGTGTATACACTCAGTCATCAGGTTAGTATTGTATAGAATGCTGGTTTATACACAGGGGAGTATTGTATAACACATCGTTACATCCAGCTGTGTACTTTGTGATATCCAGTGGAGGACACAAAATGCTACACAAGTTTACAACTGGTTGCAGTTCCACTATGTTTAGAGTGTCAACGTATACACTCAGAGCTCAAGGCTTATACGCAAAGGCACAAACTCAACCTCACTACTCACCAATTTCTTTAGGTATGTGATAGAGCCTCGACCCTTTTGGCCTAGCCTGAAGCAATGTTTAAAACAATACTTGAGTCCAAAAAAGTATACATCATTACTTTCAAGTACTAGTTGGGGAGCGAGCCGGTCTAGTGGTTAGATCGCGGAATTTCGGTCCGTCAGGTCCCGGGTCCAAATTCCACCAAATGACCAATGGATTTTATCTAAGTGATAATGCCACAAACTCGAGAGAGGTCTTTGGCCGAAGCCCAGCGGTCCCTCCCCCACCCCTAGTTTAAGTCAGAAACTTATTCACCAGGCCGCTTTCCTGAAAAATTTTCAGATTCTCCTTCCTACTGTCAGCTTCAATCTTTGTCCTTCCAGACACATTCTGTGCCTAACCACCCTTCCTATAGCATTTTAGTATTGCAGACTGCAGATTCATAAATCTAGCTTCCACAAACGGTTTCTACACTCCGCACTGCTCGCCTTGACTACCTCCTTCACCACTTGCTACGACGCGGACCTGTTTCCATCTCTTCCCATACCATTTTAGTATTGAATATACATTAATCTAACTGCAACAAACCATCCTCAAACTCAGAACTGCTCGCCTTCATTACTTCCTTTACCACTTCCTACGACGTGAACCTCTTTCTCTCCCTTCCTATAGCATTTTAGTATTGCAGATACATTATACTAACTGCCACAAACCGTCGCTACACTCCACACTGTTCACCTCGACGACTTCCTTTGCCACTTCCTACGTCGTGGACCCGTTTCCCTCATTTCTAATAGCATTTTAGTATTGCAGATACATGAATCTAGCTCCCAAAAACGATTTCTACACTCCGCGCTGCTCGCCTTGACTACTTCCCACACCACTTCCTACGTCGTGGACATGTTTCCCTCCCTTCCCATAGCATTTACGTATTGCAGATACATTTATTTCATTACCACCAAGGGTTCCTACACTCCGCACTGATAGCGTTGATAGCTTCCTTCACCACTTCCTACGACGTGGACCTCTTTCCCTACCTTCCTATAGCAGTTTAGTATTGCAGATTCATTATACTAACTGCCACAAGCCGTTGCTACACTTCACACTGTTAGTCTCGACGACTTCCCTTACCACTTCCTACGTCGTGGACTTGTTTCCCACCCTTCCAATAGCATTTTAGTATTGCAGATACATAAATATAGCTGCCACAAACGGTTTCTACACTCCGCACAGCACGCCCTGACAACTTCCTTTACTTAATCGTACGTCTTGGATCTGTTTCTCTCCCTACCTTATGCGCCTAGTGGTTACGGAGAAAATTTAAAAAAAGTAAATAACAATTTCCATGTTATTCTTATGGAGAATAATTAAATTGTTGTTGTTTGCTTGTTTATGAGCACATTTTAATCACGTTTTGAAAATGCATTTATTTCATACTATACTATTAAAATTTTACAAAAAAGCTTTTTTACCTTCCCTGTTGCAGCAAACCTAGAGTACTCGTTAAACTAATACTATTTAAATAAGGAATAAATGTAATATTTTTAAGGATACATTTTAGTGTATATCCAATTAGGCAAATGGAAATTCGCTTAGTCTACAGGTTTGCTGTGGCGGGGGTATTTTTTAGTTTCGGCTGCTGGAGTAGTAAAAGTCATTTCTGTCCATCCGATGCTTATTTATTCGCATCATATTTTTTTATAATATTTGGTCCAAAATTTAAGAAACAATCACCACTCGAATCCATACAACTTGCATCTTTAAAAGGATCAGAATATGTCCAGGCTGATTTTACCACCTACTGTATAATGAAAGGGATACTCCCAAACTCAAAATTTCGTCTATACTCATGTCACACACGAAGCTAGACAGTAACTAATCCAGGCCTGGTGCACGCTAACTGGAAAAAGATCGGATCCGACGTCCAATTACAATGCCCCAGAGAGCAGTGTCGTTGGAAGGTGTCGGGTCAGAACTGATCGGAACGGAGAGCGTCGGACTAGTGGGTTACAGTCAATTTAAAGCCATGCAAAGTAATTTCGTCGGAAGGCGTCGGAACAGGAGGTTTCCTGCTACGGTTTGACGGAAGGGTTCCAGGGCTTGAAGTGTGCTTTGCGGTGCCAACGGGTATTCTCAGTGGGCCACGAGGAGTCTGAGTCAGCCAGTCCGGAACTTGGTCTGGAAGTGCGTCAAGGACGAAGGGGTCGGACTACGGGTGACCCCCGGCACAACTAGTATCCAGTGCCAGGCAAACAACGGTCATTAAATAGTAAGTCATATATTCAGATTGTTGGATAGAATCCCGCCACAAAAAATCGTCTCTATAACCAGGGCAGATTGTCCCAACGGCAACTTGCTCTGATAGACGTAGTCTTTAGGAAGCCGCCGCAGCAAAATCAGATGTGGTTAATTGGGGTAAATGATTTGTCCTGAAAGAAAAGAGGAAACGAATACGGTTATATGCTGCCTCTAACAAAGTTTAGGTGGGGAAAGTCCGAAAGGGCCAAATCCGGTGAAGGGGGTACTTGAAATTACCCCATTGCCAATAAAAGAGAAATTCTAGGACTGAAGAAAAACTTATCAAGACCATAGGTGACGAGGTTTTGCTTATGGCTTTGGTGTGCTCAAGGCCAAGGCAACACCAGAAGTTCATGAACGTAGACGTACCCAGAACAGTGAAGTTCACCTGAAACAGGGAAACTCTGACGACACACATGCCGCTTTTGTTGCAAAAATCAAGAAGGCTTTGGAGGACAGTAGTACCATTCGGAAAAACCGGCCCTGAATGGAGGTTTGGGACCTTGACTGAGTCTAAATTGAAGTTGGGATTAGGTAGGTCATCACAAAACCCATCACTGACATCCCAACGGCTTCCTCCGTGCTAGTATACCTATCAAAATGTAGTTAATAAATGTGGTAAATGTGAATGATGTGGTGAATATAACTACTGGCGCAAGATTTTAACGATACTAACCTAAACTTAACGGTTGAATGGCCTTAAGTATCACAGATAGACATGCAATATTACTTGTAACTCTGGGAGAATTTTACAGTTATATGTTCAGAAAAACTTCACAAAGTTCACGTTTTTACAAATAATATATTTACAACTACTTTTATGGAGGAAATTAGGCTGACCATATTATAATTTAGTAACTAAGGCATTGCATCCAATCATCGAACCTTCGTTATTCTTTCAGATCTCTTTAATGTCTTTGAAACTTGGATTTGAGTAAAAGAAACTGATTATTCCAGAAGTGTCCGAACTGACCGATCGACATAAGTCATTCACTCCTTGTTTTATCATTCACACAAAGTCCGAGTTCATTCGGCCCAGGTTCTCGAAAGAAAATCAAGTGGTTTGTGTATATTTTAACTTTGCCAAGGCATTTGATAGGGCTATCCACAAACATCTAATTGCTAACCATTCTCCATAATCTTTTCTTCTTGCTTGTACTTGTTTATGAAGCTTATTAAATGTTTTTTTCCTCTAGTCAATATATTATCCTTTCTTTTATCCCCATTTCAACCAGATTATTCTTTGTTGTTTCTACCTATCAATTTCAACTGCCATTATACATTTACTTGGTATATTTTTATGTATGTTATGTATTCATACGCTTGAAGGTTGTCAAGCCTTTATTGTATGTGTTTCTACGGTTGCCTGCCTATTATTTTGATAGCCTATCGTATCTTAGCAAAAAAAGGATTATATTATTATTTTCATGTATTTTGTGAAAACTATTGAAAAATTGCGAATACTGGGGTATAATATAAAATAAAGAGATGGATAACGTCATCACAAATTTTCATAGAACATAATTTGTACTATTGTTGTCGTTTCGATGATCTGCTTACGATTTTGCTTGAAGGTTCGACATTTTCACTGAGGCAACATGAAAACTACACATCACAAACGTTGTTATAGCATTCTTTGTAAGGTTCTGATGTTTTTTAAGCGATCGGTTAAGAATCAAACTCTTAGATTAATATTGTAGTTACAAACCAAAATATGGAAAACACAGTGATAAAATAGTAAGCAGTGTCATGGTTTAAGATGTGTACAGCGATCAGTTAAGGAGTACGCCTCAACGTTCCATACTGTATTATGATTCTGAAAGACGTAATAAAAATCTTACAGACTGTAGGTTCACCTGTAAAGTTATAATATTTTCCGTCGATCGTTTAGAATACGTCAACGTACAATACTGTCTTAGACGTAATATCAACTGTAGTGATAAAGGACTTCGGCTTTCACAAACATAGCGTACAACATAACTTGTAACATTGTGACCGTATAGCAGGCGACATCGCCATATTGTACTCGTGTTCGGTGCCTGTACAGCGCAGCGGAGCCCCACTCATACCCCATAACGACCATGGGTGCAGCACTTGCACGACTTTATCGTCCGTGCCAATTATAATGTAGCCGATGTCATAATCGCATGCTGCGAGGTACGGAGAGCTAAGTTGTTGCAACCTCTAGAAGTAGTAAAGATACAAGGGGTTTAAATATGGCTGCAGGATCGAAGGCCTACGTATATTCATCCGTCGAGGGTGGTTTTATAGACCAAATCCGTAGTGGAGGGTTGGGGTCGCCGGAAGACTGTCCCTCGGACAACTACCCCCCAAGCAGGTTCCTACGTCATATAGACGTCAGAGATCGGGGGGTCAGTTTTCCAGTCACGGATACTCAAGTTTCGTTGTCAAACTGTTCTAAACTAACCTAACCAACCAAACTTGCTGTAACATTTCAAAATTCTGTTTGATATTCCCCACATGCCTTTCCTGTTATCAAATAGAATTACTCGAATTAAAATTACAATTACTTAGCATCATCCGGGGGCCTTCTAGCACCGATTCAGGTAAAGGATTATCAGGACATTTTGAGCCGGGGACCCTCTGACCGTCTCCCGGACTGAAGACTGTCGTCGAGCGGAGGAGGTTGATGGGGAGACGGATAGGGAGCAAAATTGTTCGAACTGCCCTCCTTGTCCTCATTAGTCACCTTTTTGCTTTCCCACTAGCTTCAGTACCTTTCTACCCAAGTCATAATTTCCAAAATTGTATTAAAGATTTCAGAAGTACATAAAAATTTAAGATTGACCAAACAAAGGCGATTTTGATGAGAAATAAACCGTATAGAGTATGTATTTTTTTTCTTCCTCTATGTTTATTTTCATCTCTATATTGTTTTATGGAGGGTAGTATTTCGCATCCCCCCCTAACACCTATCTGACACGGCCCAAGCTTCCCGACAAATTCTGACATTTTATGGCCCCTTGCGGTACGTATCTATGATCCCTTATTCATCAATCTAGAATTGTTTAAATACATGCAGGTATTTAACACAGTTTACGTATCTTATTTTACTTACATGTAAGCCCACAGCTTAGGGTGGAACCACTGATTTATCGCATTAACAAATCCATTGTTTGCCGGTATTTGAACTCGAACCCCAGGACAGAAGGTTCGTGCTTTACCCACTACACTAAATATGCCCTAAAGTCCTGGTACAAAGCAAGTTATGGATCAAAAATCCAAAAGCTAATGAAAAGGGTTTGCTTGGCTGCTGTGAACAAGATTTTTACAGGGAGAGGATTTAACACTGCTTGCATAGAAGTGGCATTAACTCTTCATTAACCTGTTTTATAGGTCTTGTTGAGTTTTAATATCCACAAAAGTAACTGAAGCATGACTGCCATTTAGTTCTGGTCGTCATCAAAATACCATGAAACAGCCGTTTTGACTCGTAAATGTGAGATAGAGGACATATTACATTTATAACTGAACATAAAATCTTGAAAATACACTACTCTATTAATTTAATGAAGATATTAATCTATCTTTACTTAACCTAAGTTAACCCCACCACACTAACAAACCAACAAAATTAGCAGTGAAAATACTTTCTAAATCATTTGATTCATAATTTATCAGAGTTACAATTCATTTTCGTGTGAATTCACTCCTTAATCCTATCTAATCAAATAAACACTGCCGTAATAGTTTGGTTCATAGTCGTTTCAAAGAGTGTAAATTTATTTCCGTGAAAAATAATCGAAATGCGTTTCCAGTGTGGTAGATATGAATGAGTATCACACTTTGATCCAATCAAATAAGTAGCACCACAGTCAATATAATATTGTAATATATATCTATATATAAAGCCAAAAGTACCCATGAACTTTTGAGAAAACTACAAGTCACACCCCCATAAACCATATACTTAAAATGTTCGTCATGACGAGAAACCTTGCGCAAAATTATCCATTATTTCATAAATTGCCCTATAAGGTCGTAATTGCTTTCCAAAGGGAACTTTCCATTTACCTAATGTTAAAAATACCTCAGCTGTTATTATTTGTTTGTATTACCATTACTGTATTCTGCTTTGTTTATTTCAGCTTAACTTAACCAATCAATAGTTTTATTAATACTTATGTAGTAAACGGGGTGGAGCCCGTGGGTAACAGCTAGTAATATATAATATTTAATACGGTTTCTTCCGTTGTCTGTGGTTGCACCATTGACTATATACCATATAATGTAATTGCATTTAACTTGATAATTTTAATTTTTTTTGACTTTTTTAATTACGGATCGCCATTTTTACTATCACTTTTTCTAAGTCCAATTAGCCTAAAATTATCAAGTTAAATGCAATTACATTAACTGGCGACGAGTGTAAATTAAAGTATTTTACTTTGTGCGCGTGTGAAAGTCTTTTATTCGATTTACAAGAGAAAATTAAATTGTGTTCGACCAAAAGGAGTTTGGTCCAAACAGGCAAAGACGCCTTGCAGGAAAAATCTGGTCGAAAAAGAAGGAAAATTTTGATTTTTACTGGAATTCAAGCATTATTCCGAAGCTAAAAGTATTTTATATTTTGGAGAAAGGTATTTGGTTGTATATAAGTCTATTTTTTCCCAACTAGTTGGTTTTGTGATGGAGTAATGAACTTTTTAAAACTTCCAGACTCACGTCTAGGGTTGCCCCTTTTTAGGCCTAGGCCTATTGTCTTACTTCAGACACCATATGATAATCACGAAAAATGGCTTCGAAACAAATACTAGGGAAAATACAAGAGTTCAATAAAGACCAGGAGTCTTTTGAAAATTATATTGAAAGATTACAATTTTTCTTTAAAGTAAACTCAATTGAGGACAATGCTAAAGTTCCCCTATTTATCTCCCTTATGGGACCAGATCTTTATAGCACGCTTAAAAATCTTTTATTGCCAAAGAAACCCGGTGAGGTTACATTTGACGTCATTGTTACGACTTTAACTTCATTCTTTTTGCCTAAGAAAAATAAGGCCTATGAACGTTTTGTCTTTAATAAGTGTGCACAGAAGGAGGGGGAGGCGGTGTCAGAGTTTGCCGTACAGCTAAAAAAACTTGCGTCCACCTGCGACTTCAAGGAGTTCTTGGATGATGCTCTCAGGGATAGGTTTTTGTGTGGCCTTCGTTCAAACGAGATTCAGAGTAGGCTATTATCCGAAGGTGATACTCTTACCTTTGACAAGGCATTACAGTTAGCCCTAGTTTTAGAAGATGCTTCTCGTAGTGTAAGGAGTTTGCACCTAGATTTATCAGACCGCACCATTTCTGAAATTAATTTTGTAAAGGCTCAGAGGCCTAGAGACCAATCAGGGGGGTTCAATCACAACTACAAAGGTCAACGCCAGAGATCGTGTTATTGCTGCGGGAAAAACCATGATTTTAAGAATTGTTTTTACAAGGATTTTATCTGTCATAACTGTAATAAGAAGGGGCATTTGTCCAAAATGTGTAGGCAGCCTTCAAGTAGACCTTTGGTAAAGGGCAAAATAAATCTCTGTTCGGAGAGCGATGAAGATGAATTAGCGGGAACTAAGTCGGCTATTGCGCCGGAATATGAGTTGTATAGTATAGGCCTAGCCTACACTGGTAGTAGTCATGGTTCAACACCTAAGAATTCTTTTACCGTAGAAATGTTAATCAATAGTTTACCTATCAAAATGCTTATTGACACTGGAGCAGTGGTTAGCATAATGCCAGAAGATGTTTTTGTTAATACCTTTAAGGAGGATAGGCCTAAGTTAACGAAAAGCAACATTTACCTTAAGACTTATACTGGACAGCGTTTAAGTGTTCTGGGCGAGTTTCAGGCGAGAGTCACAAATAATGACACAACGTTAGATCTGCCGATGGTGATCATCCGAAGCGAAACTCCAAACCAACCAGTGTTACTAGGCAGGAACTGGCTTAACAGGATCAAATTGGACTGGGGAAAACTGGTCAAGGATAATAACCTAGATGGAAGACAAGTGAAGGACAAGGACATGGTGGGCGTTGTAAACGGTAAGAATTTTCCAATAGATTCTACCGTAAGGAGTTTGAAGGAAACTTTTGCGCCTGTTTTTGAAGTAGGTGTAGGGACTATAAAGGGAACAGAAGTAGAATTGGTTCTGAAAGAGAATGCTAAACCAATATTTTGTAAAGCTCGTAACATTCCGTTTGCCTTAAGAGGGGCTGTTGAGAAGGAAATCGAAAAAACTTGTGGAAAATGAAGTAATCTATCCAGTTACGCGAACTGAGTGGAGTACACCAATTGTGGTGGTAGGGAAACCTAACAATGAAGTAAGAATATGTTGTGATTTTAAGGTTACATTGAACCCCTGGTTGAGAACCGATCATTATCCACTACCGACAACCGAGGATATTTTCTCAAACATATCCGGTGCAAAAGTTTTCACAAAAATTGATTTGAGTTCAGCATATAATCAAATCTGTGTTAGTCCAAGCTCTCAAGAGCTATTGACAATTAATACACCTAAGGGTTTATTCAGATATAAGAGACTCCCTTTTGGGATAACAAGTGCTGGCGCAATTTTCCAGTCAGTTATGGATAAAATTCTAGCAGGGATTGAAAATGTACACTGTTACCTGGATGATATCCTTATTACTTCTCAGTCTTTTGAAGATATGTACGAAAAGGTTAAGGAGGTTTTGTCCCGATTGCAACAGTACGGAGTGCGAATTAACGCAGGGAAAAGTGAATTTTTTAGGGACAGTCTTACATTTTTGGGACATCGTCTGGATGCAAGGGGAATATACCCCAGTGAGGAATTAACAGCAGATATTGTTAAGGCTCCTAGGCCAACCGATCTAACCCAACTGCGGTCATACATAGGCTTATTAAACTACTACGGGAAATTTCTCCCAAATTTGTCTACTCTGCTACACCCTTTATACAACTTGTTAAACAAGGGGGTCAAGTGGTCCTGGTCGGAAGAGTGTGAAAGAGCATTTCAAAAGAGTAAAGAGCTCCTTTTGACAAACAAGGTTCTCATACCCTTCAATCCGAAACTAGACATAGTTGTCATGGCGGATGCTAGTCCATATGGAGTAGGGGGGGTAATCTCACATCGGCTTCCTGACGGGTCCGAAAAACCCATAGCCTTTGGATCAAGAACACTATCAGTACATGAGGCTCGATACTCACAAATAGAGAAGGAAGCGCTCGCCTTAGTATTTGTTGTAAAAAAATTTCATACCTTCTTGTACGGTAGACGTTTTATCTTAGCAACGGATCACCGTCCTTTGACCTTTTTGCTTGGTCATAACAAGTCAATCCCTACTTTAGCAGCCGCCCGGATTCAGAGATGGGCTCTGACCCTAGCAGCTTATGATTACGAGCTGGTTTACCGAAAAGGTTCTGATATGTGTAATGCAGATGCAATGTCAAGACTGCCCTGTAATGTTGATTGCAACCCAGATGAAGTCGTAGCTTTCTTTTCTTCCATTGATGAAATGCCTATAACCTTCAAGGAGATTAGTCTCGCCACCCGCCACGACCCCGTCTTGTCTAAGGTGTTGGACTATACGTTGAATGGGTGGCCTAGCTATAACAACAACCCCCAATTGAAGCCATATTTCTCAAGGTCTACCGAATTGTCTGTTGAGCAGGATTGCTTACTCTGGGGAAGGAGAGTTGTGATACCGGCGCCGCATCGGAAGGAAGTTTTGGCACTCTTGCATAAGGAACATCCAGGGGAAAGTCGAATGAAAAATCTGGCCCGCAGTTACGTGTGGTGGCCCAACATGGATAATGACCTAGAGGAGATGGTTAAAAATTGTTTTATTTGTCAGTCCACTCGGAATTCGTTGCAGTTGGCCCCGTTACAACAGTGGTCGTGGCCCAAGCATTGCTGGCAGCGCATACACATTGATTTTGCCTCATTCCACAATAAGGAGTTTTTGATTATTATTGATAGCTTTTCAAAATGGATGGAGGTTTTCTACATGACGTCAATCACGTCAGCCAAGACAATCGAGAAACTCAGGACTTGTTTTTCTGCCTACGGTCTTCCGTCAACTTTGGTATCAGATGGTGGCCCTCAACTTAATTCAAAAGAGTTTGATGATTTTTTGAAAGCCAATGCTATCCTTCATGTGGTCACCCCACCATACCACCCAGCTTCGAACGGCCTTGCTGAACGAGCGGTACAGACTACCAAAAAATCTTTTATCCGTCAGCTTTTACATGATGAGAAGTCCGGAGAACCTCGGGCTTTACAACATCGCATCGACAGTTTCCTCTTCGCCTATCGAAATACTCCGCATTCGACCACAGGAAGTACCCCAGCAGAATTATTCTTACGATTTGTACCAAGAAATCATTTGAGCTTGTTAAAATCCCATCCTCGTCGCCAGTTAATGTAATTGCATTTAACTTGATAATTTTAGGCTAATTGGACTTAGAAAAAGTGATAGTAAAAATGGCGATCCGTACTCACTTGTAGAATTTCCAAGACAGCGAGCCGGTCCTCTTCGCCTATTCTCCGCGTCTTCCTCATGGCCTTCTTGATAATAACTTGCCAATATGTATAGGTACTATATGTAATATGGTTACTACCGTTGATTATATAATAAACAAAACAATGTCTCTTCTGATTTATAACACCATAGATATGGCAGGGCATAAAATAACATGTTTACTGCTGATATTTTGTCGCCCAGTGGATATGGATGGTGCAGGCTTTTATTTTTATTCACATTTTAAATTTAGGCGTATCGGAATTTTAAAAAGTATTGAAAAAATAACATTGTGTAAATAGTTAAGAGTATTTTAATGTCTCACAAGTGAAAGGATAAAATTACTGCTCAATGTATTTTGAAATGTAAATGTTACATAAAATAGCACTTAGTAGTTTCCAGCACCAGGATCTAATTTACTTCAAACTAAGTACTTTTCTTAACTAGGATAAAATCGGAATTGTTTTCTTTCTCATTTATGGACAGAATTCTAGAGCGAAAATTGCAAATTGAGCAAACATGTACGTTTAAATATTTAAGCTTTTTATTTTATGACAGGTAAAAATCATATTCTGTCATAATTATCGTTACAGTTAGTTACAGATATTTTGTCTCAAAGTTATACATAAATCTTTAATTATCTGTAACAATAATATATTATGTCCATGATTTTTACCTGACCAAAAAGAAAAAGTGGAAATTTATTTTGTAGTTTTAGGTTTTGCGTAGATATGTTAAACATGTTTCTGTTCACAAATTGTTTAATGTTTGTAGTAGTACACTTTTGAAATTGAGCTATGATTTTGGCCCAAGAGGTTGTGAAGGGAGCCTTGGCCTGTTACAAAGTTCTACAATACGTTAAGTGAGATTATGGAGTATTTACAAGGAAATACAATCGGAAATGTTATTAAAAGATACGTAGAAATGTGAGGTTTTAACTTTATGCAACAATTTTCCCGGGCCAGGGTGGTAAATCCGGGCACCACTGTCGCCCAGTGGAAATCTTTTAAAATATACTCTGATATGGTACATAATATAACCTTAAAATGTGGTTCGTAGTCTTTCATGAGGAGTGATCATTAAGTTTCAAGATAAATGTGAGTTTTATATTACTGAAAAGCTGTACCTCAAAACGTTTGGATGTATCTTCTGAACAAATCCCTTTTCAGCTGAAATTGAAAATATCTTATTCAGCATTGCCTCCAGGTTTGATTTAAGACAGTATAAAATAGGTTTACGTATCTTAAGTCGTCAATCCTTGAATAGTCTTACAAGCGACTAGTTTCAAAAATGGCGTTTCATTTTCAAGCTTTGTCGTCAAACATAAAATTATTGGAACATGATGTATTTTTGTAATTTTTGTGCGTGTAATTTAATGTATTTGTGCGTGTTAAATGTTTTATTTGTGTATTTTGACGACGACATCATGTTCCAATAATTTTATGTTAGACGACAAAGCTTGAAAATGAAACGCCAGTTTCTAAACTACAAGGATGGACGACGTAAGGTACGTAAACCTATTTTATACTGTTGAAAATATCCATAAAATAACCTTAAATCTTTGCAGTTTCACGTAAATGAAGATCAGTTAAATGACCTTTAACCTTGCAATTTGAAGGCATCATTTTAACTATGTTTTAAATCACAATGTTTAGTAATACTTAGCAGAGTTGCTTTGCGTGCTGGAGTCACCGTTACTAAATGAATGCGACACGCTCAAAGCAACTCGGCTTATAGCTGTTGATTGCTATGTTTTACTATGATCTACATGTTGTCAGTCAATACTGTCCCCGCCGCCCTATCATTTGACGTTTACGTCTCACTTGTACGGTAAAAGGGGAACTATTAAAACGTACAGTTTACGATCGATTATCCGGCCTTGGGGACCAAACTTTCACCTCGTGCTCGGTCCCCCACAACGTTCTGGATCGGAGCCCTGTTTTTATTCTTGAATGGTGTGTGTGTTTTGATTATATCCCTGCTGCATACCTGCAGACTAAGCGTTTGTTTGCCTGGTTGGATTTGCACTAAAATATCTCCAATAGTCAGATTTATTCCCTATTTCAAACTTCAAGATTAAAGAGTTCTTAGGTTTGCAAATATTGGGAATATAATGAAGTGTGTTTTTACTCAAATTTTAATAGATATACATTTTATCAACATTCATAAACAAGCAAACTACAAGAGTTCATTTATTACCCTTAAAGAGTTACATGGGTATTTTAAATTTATAGATTTATGTAAGTTTCTCCTTACAAAAGTACAACAAAGCTTCAACGTACGAAATTGTTTTAAAAATGGTTTAGAAATAAGTTGTAAAATTTTATGATTTGAGTGTGAAAAATGGGAAAACCTCCCCATTTTTACCCCATAACCCCTCCACCCCCTCGGAAATCCAGTCCCCATAGTCCGATGTTGCTGTTTCGGGAACTCATTTTAGGATTACATGTTTGTGCAACATTTCATCAAAATCTTATGACTTTACTCGAATTATCTTGTTAACGGACGCATATATAAATATTTACGAATTTGAACTGATGGTGCCTTTGGCCTTTGTGGACATCAAAATGAAAAAGTAAATCTGTTCCGGGTCCAGGTCTTACCAAGATACATATACTGGTCACCGGAGTTACAAAATTGTTTGGTCTAAGTACAAAGTAAAGAAGAGAGATGCGTATAAGAGGTTCCAAGTCTGAAATTTGGCTTCGCAAAGAACTATTTTAATTTTGTCTAAGATAACCGTGTTTTTAAACACAATACAGCAATTTCTCAATTACAAATACAATATAATTTGTACCTGCAGACGGATTTGAGTAGATTGTGTCATTTTCGTTTTTTATTACATTTTGAATAAGAATAACTGAAACAGGATCAATAGTAAAAACTCGATTGTAAATAGTCCCAAAAATTCAAATTAAGGTCGATGATAAAATTAAATAAATTGGTCTATTGAATTGTTCTACAACCTGTATACAAGAAGGTATCAAAATATGTTGAAAACTGCGCCATTTTGGAGGCTTTAATTTTATATGTTTTTTATATGCTACACTATTTAGGTTTAAATCTGCTTAAGTTCACTTTAGTGGTTTGAAGACTCCAAAACACGGGGTTTTTAACATTTCAAACATAAATAGTAGGCATGTATTTACCAAAACTTGTTTCGGTTTGAACATTAAAACGTAAAAACGGGAGAAAGTTCTACAGTAAAAACAAAAAAAGTGTTTTCTGTTCTACCTTTCTACTTACACATGAAATAACCTAATTGTGAGTATATTCGAGTGCGATCAAAAATCTTGAGTATGACTTTAGACCTTGGTCTTGAAGTACAAATACAAATACAAATATATTTATTCTGAAAATTACAACAGCTTGGCCTCACCAAGTTTATAAAACTTGTCGGTGAGGTCCAGTTGATACAATAAGGCTAACAAACAAATAATTTACATTTTTTTTTCTTTTTTTGAACAAAGATTTCTTAATGTCCTATGTTTCTGTAAAGGATTCCTTAGACTTTCCTTTGTGCAACAAATCCATACACGGTCAGTCTAAAAGGTAGTTTATATATTAGCGAACTTCTCATATAGGGAATAAGCTATTACCGTAGTACTCATGGTAAGACTGTACCCGGGACCGATTTACTTTTTTTCATTTTGAGGTCCCTAGAGGCCAAAAACGCCATCTGTTCAAATTCATATATATTCATAGTGTGTGTCCGTTAGCACGATAACTCCAGCAAAAATGATCAGATTTTGATGAAATTTTGTATAAACGTGTAAACATTTATTCGAATGAGTTCGCGAACCAGCGTGATCGGACCATGGGAACTAGGGTTTATGGGGGGTTTCATAGGGTAAAAATTGGGTTTTCTCATTTTGACCCTGGAAACATAAAATTTAGCAATTTCTTTCCAAACCATTTAGTAGATCTTAGAAAAACAGCCTAATGGTTACGGAAAAATTCCCAAAAAATGTAAATTTTAAATTCCCAAGTTATTCTCATGGATAATAAGTAAACGGTTGTTGTTTGCTTGTTTGGGAGCATATTTTGATAACATTTGGAAAATGCATTTTACTTTTTTACCCTCCCTGTTGCAGAAAACCTAGAGCACTCGTTAAACTAATTAAATAGGGAATAAATGTGATATTTTTAAGGAGACATTTTAGTGTAAATCCAATTAGGCAAATGGAAATTCGCTTAGTCTGCAGATTTTGTGAGGGGTATTTTTTACTTCTATATTCTAGTGAGTTTCAAACCACTGACAAGGATACTTTGAAGGACAGGATATCGCTTAATTAAATGGATCCGTAGACAGGAAACAATCGGTTAGAATTAGAAGGGAATCAAAGCGGCGAGGAAGGTGGCTAGCGGAACGTTGAAAACAATTAGGGCAAATGTAATTGATGGTAATAACATGTGATATCTCTGATCAGGCCATTGTAATAACTACTTGCCCCAACTACCAACGTTGTGCTAATGGCTGGACTTTTAGCGCTGTTTTGGCACGTTTTTTGTTGTTTTGGACAAGCGGATATGATATTGTAATTAGAACCCTCATTAAAATGGGGTATTATTAGGGATGTTTTGATTTTCACGTAATAGGGCTCATAAGGTCAAGGTAGTAAATAAAAACAACTGAGCGCCCTATAAATATTTTTCTGAAGTGACATAATTCGGACGTCCATTTTCAAACATAAATAGTAAAGACTTAATTTTTCCTTACATTATTGGTTTTATGTAAATATTTAGATTTTACAGAGAATTTTTAAAGATAATGGATTTAGAAATTTGTTCTATTGATTATTATATCTAATTGAAAATTTTTGTTAAAAATGGGGTTTCTTGAAAGAATTTGGCTATTTAAAATGTGTTTGGAATTTTTTCGGATTCATTTATATGAGATATTTTTCGATTGAATCCATTCAATTTCCATTTCTTGGAACTTTCAGAATATTCATTTTTGTTAAGTCTGTAAGTAATTAAATAAATATTGACCAGTTTGTGTATTTTATCAACCAAACACAGTTACACAGATTTCTTCAAGAAACCCCGTTTTTATTAATTAGTAGATAATCAATAGTCAACAAATGTCCAAATCCTGTATTGAAATCCTATGTAAAATGAAATTATATTTACAGAAAACCAAATAATGTAAAATAAAAATATATGTACTATTTACTATATATTAAGGTTCGTGAAAATAGACTAAGTTCCGAAACATGCCACTTCTAGAAAATATAATAATAATTATTTTTAATTTACTAGATTATTATGATTATAAAATTTTACATTATTTTCTCTAACGAACACCATATTGTGAGAGGCTAAGGTAGTCTAGTGGTTAGAGACCTTTAAAATTTGGGCTTCTAACTTTAAGCCTATGGTTCAAATCCCAACAATGAGTAATTATATTTATCCATCTTTACTGGTGTAATTTGGGAGATCGGAATCCAATTTCTAAAAACCATTAGTTAGTTGAGATACGTTGTTTAGCTTTGTTACTAATTCATATAAGCTATCTTTGGTCATGACCATTTAAGTCCATTCATCAAGTTTAGCTGGATCCAGTCAAGAACCAATCCAATCAATTGTTTTTATTAGGATCGGTTTGACATAATATTTAGGCGTGAACTTTGCCCGCTCAGGTATTTAATACCTATGGGATGAATGTAACTATCAGTACTGCAGTATACATCTAAATTTTCTTTCTATGCATTTCAAAATAGGTAAATGAAACCTATGGGACGAAACTTTAGTGCTGCAGTATACATCTAAATTACCTTTCTAGGCATTTCAAAATAGGTAAATAAAACCTATGGGACGAAAATTTTAGTGCTGCAGTATACATCTAAATTAACTTTCTAGGCATTTAAATCTATGTAAATAAAACCTATGGGACGAAACTTTTAGTACTGCAGATACATCTAAATTACCTTTCTAGGCATTTCAATCTAGGTAAATAAAACTATGTGACGCAGCGAGACACACCAACAAACCATAGCGCGATCACAGGTTCATTAAATCAACGGCTCGAAGCCAGTCGCGGCGCGGCGCGTTCGCTCTAACAGGTATATTAAAC